GAATTTCTGGTGGGACAACAAGCCAACAACCAACATTGCTAACAACTCGATGCAGCATGACATAACGAAACATGTGGAGATTGATAGGTTCTTCATCAAGGAGAAGCTGAATAGTGGATTATTGGAGTTTTCACATAGCTATTAGAGAACAAGCAGTTGACTGCCTCACCAAGGGACTTAGCTCATTAGATCTATCTTGATTGTGTGGCAAGATGAGCCTAGTGGATATCTTTTGGTTATCTTAAAGGGGAGTATTGAAAATTGCATAGAGTTTTGGGTCCCATTTGTAACTATGCAATACATAATAAATCTAGGGGTTTATTTGTAAAGAATGTTGAAGACTCTATATAAGCCAAAATCTTTAACAAATAGAGTGTTTTTTGAGCAGCAATAATTTCTCTTGATTTAACTTCTTGAAGTGGTGATTTAAATGACTATGCTCTCATGCTCCATATTTTTTTAGTGATAATCGATGGTAGCAGAGAAAATCAGAGTATATGATGCATATACACTTCTAACTAAGGATCCATGTAGTGTTGAGCACGTATCAGACACAGACACGGCATAAAAGTGTTCGATTTAAATAATATTGAAAAAAGGACACGTGTAAAACATGTGTGCTCTAAATTAATGAACTAAAGACTCGAATAATGTTCTTATGACTATAATTAAAAAAATATATATTTTTATGTAAAATTTAGGAAAGATTTAAATACATATCAATCAATTTTTATGTATTTACTTATCTAACACTTAAATTTTAATATATATATATATATATATATGTATAGGTATATATGTATATATATTTATGTTGTCTTACATATATATGAAAATGTGTATTTCACTTTTTAAAATTGAAAATATTGGTATATTAGAGGTGATATGGAAGATTTGGGTGGCATAAAAGAAAATCAAAGTTTAGGTGTAAATATGTAAATATATAAGAATCAATGCCAAAAATCATTTATTATTTTATTTCTTTTAATGAATAATTGATTAAGATGACTTAAATTTTGATGTAATATAAAATAATATATACTTGTATACATTTTGATTGTTTTAAATATAATCTAATTTGTTTTTAAAAACTATAAATAAAATATATAAGCATTATATCAACTAAAACATGAAACAAAAGTGTGTCAAACGAGCTCTTATTTTTTAAAAGTTAGTGTTATTAAATTTCTTTTTTTCTCATTTGTATTAATCTTAATCTTTTGTTTGTTTATTTAATATATATATATATATATATATTATTGAAAGAGCAACTCGTGGCTCCTTACGCGTTAATGGTAATAGAGATAGTACAATTTTGGGAGGGAAGGAGGATCTCTACTAAAAAGCAAAAAGATACATTGAAACCTAAGGGTTCCTTCGTCCACATACAACACCACACAAAAAAGGACACAAAAAAGGACGTAGAACAAGCTATCACTTCCAAAATTACATGTAACCCAAAAAAGATATGTCAATCAAAAATAGTATTTCAAAAATGAACTTGTAGGAAAAGTGCAAAACGGAACTATGCAATCCGTAAGTTCAATTATCTTGAAACTGCACAATCTTCCAATCTGAGCGCAAAATTGTGACAAAGTAACTGTCTTGGAGGAGAAACAAAATAATAATATGCCGTCGTCTAAGAACATATAGATCATATCTGTTAGTAGAATAAATGACATTGAGGGGATAAGACATTAAAAGAGGAGTTTTTATAAGCCACTGATAATATAAGCTGCAGAGAGAGAGAGCCCGAGAAATATTAAAGACCAATACCAGCAGCCTAAAACACCAACAACCATTGCAAAATAAAGTACCATTCATCCTCCCCTTATAGAAAAGGAAAGCATCATCAAATCATTTAGTATTTCTCAAATAAGTATTAGGAGCTATAAGGCTCCAAACCAGGAAAGTATGCAAAAAACAGGGGCCATGGGCCTCCAATATATTCCTGAAATATTGTCACCAAAAAGTGAGCCATGTGCCTCCTAATAAAACATCTTCTTTTGCCTCCAAATAAAACATATATAAGTGTTTGATGTACACCACCAAGTAAAAAGGAAATATCCAAATGAGAATGGGATAAAACAAGCCATCAAAACCCTGCAGTATAGCAACCTCAAGCACGTAAATAGAGGACATCAATAATATCACCATGAATCAAATTGAAGAAGGGGGGAGGGGGGGTTTGCCCAATATAAATGTCATTGTACCAATGTTTAGACAGTCAATCTGCAGGCATATTTCCTTTCCGATTAACAAAATTATACTGAATAGAGAGATTAGAGCTAGCCACCATAGAATCTATTCGATTAATCAAAATCATCATATTCCAAAGAGGCTTTACCTTGCCCGTTAAAGTGTGTGAGAATTAGTTTCAATAATGAGATTAGAGAAGCCATAGGAAATGATAGTATGTAGAGCACCCAAAACAACCCTAGTTTCAGCTTCCAAAGGAGAAGATGATGACCGCGACTTTATATATGCTTAAAAATATAAGATAAATATGGACGTAATAAATATTCAATAATTGTAAAGTCACACTTATCAACACAAGTATACGTATCGCTCAAGTAATATAGGGCTCTGATGGAGTCCTAGATATCGATCCCACATGGAGTAAGTTTAAAACTACAAAGTAAGATTTTAGAAAAAGTAATACTTTAATCACAACAACAAAGTTCAATTTGCTTATATGTCACTAATAGGCAATTGCAATAAATATGTAATTTTAATAACTATTAAATAACGAATGATACTAATGAAGGTTTAAATGTGATATTCAATATATAAGAAAACATCATTCTCCTTATCAAGAAATTATAGTGAATGGATAAAGTGAATTAGTTCAAATTATATTGTGTCAAATAGGAGCATACATATTTTTTAACATTTGGTCTAGGCATAAAGAACAATGACTAATCATACGCTTGTTTACTGAATCTGCGGCTAGACTGGGAGGATTCCGGCTCTCACTTCGGAGCTCTCACGTTCCCTTCACCTGAGGGCTAACATCTACACTTCAACACCCAAACGATAGGACCGAATTGGGGATTTTAGTCTGTCACTCTAAAATCTCCAATTCTACGCCCGATAATATAATTTTCCTATTTATTTGCACCCAACTTCCAAAGGCTTTGACCTCCCTGAATCTTGGATGTAATCTTAGGTTGTGAAGATGTGTCGGAAAGCTACTTTATTGAATAGTTTCAAAGTTTCATCCGATAAGCAACTTTTCAAAGCAATTTTGTTTGAAAAGCAGCTAGATCGTTTTTATCCAAACAGTGGGCACCTACTCTACACCAGTTATCTGCTGCTGTAAGTTAGAGCAAATATTCGAAACTAACTTTAAAATGATATTATAAATCTAGTGATGTTCTGAA